TACAGTTAGGTCTCTCTAACCTATTTCTCCACTTTTTTAAAACTTTTTTTCTAAGAATTATTTTAACTTTATTTATTTATTCATTTATTTCATATTAATTTGATCAGAGAGGGATAGAGCAAGAGCGCGTGCGAGAAAATGAGAAACCAAGCCACTGGGTCCAGGACTTGAACCACAGTCGTTCAATGTGAGAGGCCACCACCCTTAACCAACACGCCAACTGTTGGCCCCCACATTTTTGTTTTTACTTTAAATTGGAGAAATTCTGAGGTATGGAATAATAAAAACAACCTTAATTATGCTGAAGTTTAATTCAATTAAACAGGCATTTTTTTCCTAGTTAATTATTTCCTAGTCAATAGACTAGGAAAACCATTTCTAAACCCAAACAAGTATAAACTGATTATATTCCAACTGAGTTTAAGTTAACTAGTTTCTAGAGAAGACATTCATCTCTCTTGCTATTACAAGCCATCCCCACATCTGAAATACTGTGGAAATAAACTGTTAATTTTGCACCCAACTCTGTGTTTTATAGGAAAAGACAATGGCTAACATGGAAATTCACCCGTTTATGGTTGTCTCTGTCTCATTAAAACAGATAAGTCAGCTCCTCATGAAATGATAGGTCATTCCTTACCTCTATCCCATCCTCATTTCAGATATGACATTAAACAAAAGTTCCACTGAGCCTTGCTCCATCTTTTACTAACCATGCCCTTCACGGTTTTATCAGCCATCTTGGCCTAACAACTGAGAATTTCAACTAAGGTCAGTCAAACTTCCAAATCCTAATAGAGATCAAGAATCTTTCACAAAAATTTACAAAACAGAACCAAAACTTGAAGTACTCACAGTAAATCTTATTTAAAATTTCTATCATCCCTATCTTAAAAGACCCTAAGGCTTATTAAACTTGCTAAACTATGTTTCCCAAGATTTTTCCTACCATACCACATATAAAAAAATTATTGTACAAAACATACCCAAAGTAAAAGAACAAGGCTGCTAGAACCAGCAGTTAGTGTAATGGCTATGTCGCTGGAATCCCATGTAGTTGACCATAGTTCGAGTCCTGGATCTGGTGGCTTAAACTCATGCCAGGCACGTGTGCGTGCATGCCCAAGATCCCAAGAGGAGAATGGAGGAGGGATTGTGGCGTGGCTATCCCCCCTGGGGGGGGGACTTCTTACTTTCTATCTGCGATAAAATGCCCTGTAGAAAACCCCCCTCCAAAAAAAAAAAAAAAAAAAGGCTGCTAATAGCCAACCTTTGGCTCCAGTGAGCCCAGGAATGAGAGAACATTGTCTTGGAACACTTGGAAGTTTGCCATCATATTCAGGTCTGACAACTGGACGTTCTGATTCTGACCATTCATTTTCAGAATTCTCAACCCACTTGTATGACCTAATGCCAAATAACTTTTGGAATTAAGGAGCTTCTACACATGAGTCAAGTTTTAACAATATGACCAAAAGGAAAGTTATAGTACTAATCCTAACAAAAAGGATTCATAAATCTGCTCAACAATCAAATTCTGAGATAATCATAGATATGAATACCTTTTTTTTTTTGGAGAGATTTTCGCTATAGGGCGTGTGTGCTCACCAGACAGAGAGAGACAGAGACAGAAAGCAAGAAATCACCCCCCAGGTGGGATGGTCACGCCACAATCCCTTCTCCTCCATTCTCCTCTCGGGATCTTGGGCATGCACGCACATGCACCCGGCGTGAGTTTTAAGCCACCGGGTCCGGGATGCGAACCGCGGTCGACTACGTGGGAGTCCAGCGACATAGCCATTATGCTAACTGCTGGTTCCCAGATATGAATACTTTTTAGACACAACGTTAAAGTCCTTTTTAAATGTGTATGGCTTGGGACCAGCAGATGGTGTAATGGCTGCATAACTGGACTCCCATGTAGTCGACCATGGTTCAAGTCCCGGACCCGGCAGCTTGAAACCAACGCTGGGCGCATATGCGTGCATGCCCAAAGTTCCAAGAGGAGAATAGAGAAGGGACTGCAATTTAGCCATCTGCCCTGGAGGGACGTGACTTCTCGCGTTCTATCTCTGTCTCTTTGTCTCTCTAGCAAATGCAGGCACATAGAGCGAAAAAAATATCTCTCTCAAAAAAAAAATGAAAAAAGAAAAAAAGCATATGGCTTAATCCACAAAATGATGGTAGTATACTGACATAAAAATATTAAAAATAGGGACTAGCAGATGGCATAATGGTCAATGGACTCCCACGAAGTCAACCATGGTTTGAGAACCAGATACAGTGCTTAAAACAGAGGGCACCAGGTGCATGCATGCCCAAATCCTGAGAAGAGAATAGGGGAGAAGAACTGCAACCTGGCCATCACCCCTGGGGGGGGGGTGTAATTGCTCATTTTTTTCTCTGTCTCTCTGGTGAATGCATACACACTATACCAAAAAATTTCTCTATAAAAAAGGATTAAAAATATCAAGCCTCACAGTGTAGTGGTTAAGGGAAGGAGATCCTACATGGCTAACTGTGATTCATATCCCAGCCCTGGAGACTTGAAAAACTCACCAGATGCATCTGCATGTGTGCCCAATATCCCAACAGGATGGAGAGATGGAGGAAAGAGGATTGTGGCATAGTGATGTCCCACTGGGGGTCCTTTCCTTTCTCTCACTGTCACTGCTGAGTATATATGATCTCTCGCAATAAAAAGTAACAGCAGTAAAAGATTAAAAATATTGGTGCTGGAGTAACAGGTGTCATGGTGGTTAAGACAGCTAGGTTCCCACGTGGCCAACTGCTCAGTTCACCTTTGGCCTGGCAGCTTAAAAAACACACTGGGTGTATGTATGTGCTTACCAAAATTCCTGAGAGGAGAACGGAAGAGAAGGGACTGTGGTATGGTCATCCTCCCTGGGGCTGATTTCTTACTTTCCCTCTTTCTCTGTCATCTCTCTCCAGTGAGTATACACACACCATAGCAAAAAAAAAAAAAAAAAAAAAAAAAAAATCCTGTATTGAAGATCAAATTTTAAAGATTATTCTTATTCCTTTTTTCTTGACTAAGAAAACTAATTTGCAAAACTGGTTAAGGAAGCTCAGCCCAATCTTCTTAATTGTTTTATCAAAGGAAACATTATTAGATAGTTTTGCCTAAAATAAGGGTTACAGCCATAGATACAAAGAAATAATCTGGGCTATGAAAACAATAAGAAAGTTGAAAGTCTTTATGATAGCCAAATAAGAAAACAAAGAGGTGAGAACAACATACACAACCAGACTCCCCATCCTCCTCCTTTCTTCTAAGAATAGTTCATGACTGAGAATTACTAGTTATTGTTGTTTCACTAATAGAAATAGGGAATACACATCCAGTAAGGCAGCATGATCTAAGACAGAGTGGAAAATCAAAACACAATTTAAGTTCCACAGGAGATATTTTCCTCTACTTTATTCATTAATACATCTCCATAATCTAGAACTGTGCTGGAATTCAACTCTAAAATGTTTTTGAATAGGTGATCAGACACAATATACATGTAATATTCTAGCAGAGTTATCTCAAGAGGACAGAATATCCCCCAGAAGTCCCTGAGACCTTTTTCAGGGAGTCTACAAAGCTAAAACTATCTTTACAACACAAAACTATTTTCATAGTAACACTAAGATATTATTTGCTTTTTTCAGTGTTGACTTTTCCAACAGTGACCAAGTACTGGTGCCTTAGCACTAATATTTGCCAGCACAGTTTAAAAATAATTTTTTTAAAAGAAGTTCTAGTTGTGCCATTAGCCAAAAGATTTTGAAGA